CAAGTACAGGGGGAAGTGGGCTCAGTCAAGCAGCAGAGCCATAAACCAAAAGAAGGAAATGGACATGGCCATCAGTGGAGCTCCAGGAAAAAAGGACAGGAAGCGCATCGCTGATTTTTGGATATAACTGTGTGAAAGAAAATCTATGAAAACACCAGGCTGCTCTGAGCTCACTCTGAGCTCAGTATCTGTAAATGGCTTTGATGCATATTGGATTTTTTGGACTGTTTATTGATATGAAAATGATAAAAAAAAAATTGAAATATTTTTCCTTCACTGTTTTATGTTACACTGTTACATCCATTTTACTAGGATGTAAAATGCCAATGTACTACTCCTCACGTCGTGGAATCTACGGCCTATTTTGAATGTTATAAGCCAAGATTAATTGCATCGCTTCTTAATCTTTATTAGTCCAACATGCTGCTCAGAACTGGCTGCTAATTGCATATTTGGTAAAACCTTGTGAGCTCATTAGTGCTGCACTCTTTTGAGTGATGGAACATTGTCCGCAGCTGAAGCCCCATTAAGGGGCAGTGAGGGAACTCCATCTCAGTCCCCTGCACGCCGTCATCTGCACCTCAGGTTAGGGGGGCGGGGGAGTCCTTAATTAGAAATCCTGAAGAAATCAGTTTATTTAACATCTTGTGAAATATTCAGGCAGGTTCTTTTTTTGTATTTGGCTCTTACTGTATTGTTGGGCTTCTCTTTAAAAAAACCCAAAGTACTACACTTATTTAAAATGACAAGTTGTGTTTCTTTAATTCATTTGTTTTTTGTAATAAATACAAACATAAAGACTTTTTCAGATTCCTTGTCTGTGATTAATCCTGCAGCTCTCTGGCCTCATGGTCCTTCGTCAATATTTTGAGCTCACACTGTTTACTGTGCAGGAACAAATGAATTAGAGCGACAGGCAAATACTTCCAGTACAACTGTAAACAGATTCACGGTTAAATCAGGGGGAACATCTCGGTGTACCAGTTTTAACTGCAGCACTGCAACACGTTAAATACACAATGTCGACTCATTAAACGTAAAAAGGCGGATGTACGGATGTACTGATTCCTCTGAAATGCGAGAAAGAAATTAGATTCTTTTTTCTTCACTTTATTGCAGTAATACTTGTATTTTGTCTGCCTGCGTTAGAGTTTAACAAGAAAAGCCGGGGCCATTCTTTAGCTCCAATTTCCATCTTCATTTCCTTTTGAGGACGATAAATGATTGAAGTCCAAGGTAATTTTCCTCTTGAACTGCGGCGCATAATACAGACAGCAGTTAATGCTGAAAGTAATATTGCACAGACGCTCTGTGATTGCCATCTCCGTCTCTCGGCGCCTTCAATTGTCAGTGGTTAAAAAAAGGGGGAAATGATTGGCAGAACACAGAATAGAAGTTGAAATCACATCTGAAATGTGTTGTTAATCCTCCCCGGGCATTTGCAGTCAAATCCATCACTCACCGATGCATCAGCGCATCATCATCAGAGTTACATGCAAACTTTGACCGTGCGCTGACGTCTTTCACAAATCCAAACTGCTGCCTGGCGGTATGCTAATGAGCAAGGCACTGTTGTCGCAGCTGTTTACTCGAACTGACTGACACTCTATCTGTTAAATTGTGCTAATTGACAATACTGTACAGCTATTTCCTCTCCTTTCTCCCCTCAGGGGAGTAATTACGTTGACAGTCTGTGAAAGATATGAATGTGCAGCCCCGGGAAGAAGCGTGCTGCAAAATATCTACACAGGCCCGACTTGCTCTTGTAGATGTGCTTTTTGTTAGGTTTGTCTTTTTCTAAAATGCTTTTTAAAAAAATATTTTTAGAATATTTAGAATGAAAAAGCTTAGAATCATAGCTGTTAGAGGGGCATTGAAGACAAATGTACTTAAGCATGAGAAATAGAGACATCTATATATATACAGCTTCATATATATATATATATATATATATAAATCTCTAGGGTGACATACCCAGTAGGTGGCAGTATGGCAGATCTTATAAATATATAAAATTATACAATGGTAATGAGCCACACACTGGCTCATATTCTGTTGAGTCACATGCAGGGCCAGGTCACAGTCACCTCTCCTCCTCCTCCTCCTCCTCTTCTTCCTCCTCGCTGTATCAGACAGTGAAGGAGGATTACCGCTGCAGCCATTTTTTTTTCCACTCCACTAGAGCCTATCACCACTGCAGCCAAGGGCCAGGACCTGACAGCGTGGCAGCAGCTGAGACCGAGCCGGAGAAGGAAGAACAGGCGAGAGAGAAAACAGGTCGAGGAGTGAGTAGGTGAGGGAGGCAGCAGTCACTGGAGGACGGAGATGGATGAACACCACTTCCCTGGATCAATCAGGGCCTCGCAGCCACAGCAGATCATCTTTCACCAGGAGCAGGTTACTGCTGGTGCACCACTTCATCACTGCCCCCAGAAACCACACGATCACCCCAGCACCAATACGGCTTGTTTTTGCACTATATGCCTTATATTACATACATTATATATAGCAAATATGCAATATATACAGAAGAGTATGTGAGTGTGTGCTACGTAGACATAGAGAGAGAGGGAGAGAGAGAGGGAGAGAGAGAAAGAGAGATTGATTGTAATCTTGCTCTAAAAAAGAGTGAGAGAGAAAATATTGATTGTTTGCACTGTGATATAATTGCAATTAAAGTTTGCAAACAGCCCAGTGGATCACTTACCTTTGCCGTCACCAGGCAGCGTTGATGAATGCCTCCACCTCCTCAGGTGGCAGCAGAGAGTGATATCACTGTCTCTCCCTGTGGACTGTGTGTGGATCAACGTCAACATGTGCACTTATTTAGCTCTGCATATCACAGACAAAGACAGCAAGACCAATCCAACTTATAGAAGAATGACACTCAAATGCTCAATGTTAGTTAGCTAAGAAAAAAAATCCTTAATTTGGTAGAGATTTATAAAGATTTATAAAGATTTTAAAAAGATTATTATAATTATCTGACAATATTGTGTAGTCGTTTTATGTTGTTTTTTAATCTTCACACTGCATTTCATAGAGCTTCTTACCATTCCTCAAAAGACTGTTGAGTAATTCTTTTCATGGTCCACCAATCCAAACCTTCATCAGGTAAGTGGGCGGGGTCTAACCCTGGACGTTGTCCCAGTTCATCACAGGACCACATACCAAGAAAAACAACCGTTCACTTTAATTTTAATTCGAACAATAAATCTGAGTCCGGCATGACTTTGGAATGTGAGAGGGCTGAGACAGTGACCTTCTTGATGTTAGGCAAGAGCTCTAACCACTTCTGCACCGCGTGATCCTGCTCCTGGACGTCTAGAAAAAACATCACTGATGGAAATATGGTCAGTTTTCCAGAAAAATAATGAACGTAAAATGAAGGTCCAAAATAACACTGTCAGCATAATCTTTTATCGTGGTGGCCATTGTAGCTTCAGCGCAGTTTGCGTTTTTCACACAGTGTCACGTGGACATAATCATCACTTACCTTGAGATAACCCTGTGCTATTATCTCCTTCCCAATCAGCGCAAGCTATTCATTTTTTAAGGCCCTCAATGTCCTCCCCATGCGAGCCACCTTTATGGGAACTGAATCGACTGCTCATTAATGAAGGGAAGCTGTATCACTAACAAACATCTTTAATTAACACTCCCACAGCACTTCCTGTCTTTACTCTTGATTAATGCATGTGAAAAGGTTTGGGAGGTGAGGACGGGAATTTTGGGGAGGGAACTCAAAAAAAAAAGGAAAAGAAATGGTGAATGTGATGAACTCCCTGATGACCAGAGAGTATTTTGCGGTCGCCTTGTCTTCGTCAAGGGCCGCAGCTCAATTACTGGTCAACGAAGCTATCTGAAGAATATCCTGATAAAGCAATAATCCTAAATCCATTTGGTGTTAATGACTTTTTGTGTAATTAAGGAGCCTTTTATAAAAGATGGCCACGTCACAGCGCCTCCCCCCTCCCTCCATTGTCCTAACACCTAATAGTCCAGACTTAGAACGGGCAGATAAGAGCTGCCAAAGGTCTGCTACTGTAGTAGCTTATTCACAGTATATTATTTTCTTTTCAATAGGAAAGCAAATTGGAAGAGGGAACACTTCTGCGGCCGAGTTCTCACACTGGATTTTAAAGCGCAGAGAAGATGGACTGACATGGTTCTTGTTTTTCTCCGTGTTATCTCATTGTGAAACGGTGGAGCCGGCTGTAAGGTCAGAGGTTCGACCTTGGGCTCCGCTCGTCTATGTTTATTGGGTCCCAGGAGAAGACATTTAATCTCAAATTGCTCATCCTGCTTAGCTACAGTTAAACGGTGTTAGCTGCATCAGGAAGGGCATCGCACATGGAACATGTCAAATCTCATTGTTATTGTTTTGTTCTGTTTCCCAGCACCAAATTACAAACTTGCAAATCCCATGCCACAGCAATCTCAGAACTGTTTGTTAATTTTCATTCTCCTCTCACTGCATGTGGCCCGGTAATTATTCAGTATTTATTTTAAGACTTCAGCACCCTCCAGTGTTGGAGTGTAATAGTGTCTTCTACTGTTTTGTGTTCTCTCAATCATGATTTCAAACAGGAAACATCACATTTATTTTACGGTGAAGAAAAAAATACTACAGTCACTTTCCGTCACATTTATTTTACGGTGTTCTCTTTAAAAGAAGAAAAAAATACTACAGTCACTTTCCAAAAATATATTAGGAAATAATGAAGAATACAAGCATTTTTCAAATATATATATATTATATATATTATATATATTTTTCATAGGTTGAACTTTAAGAGAGGTCCTATCAGCCAAACGGTGTCTATGTTTGATATACCTCAACCTGATTATGTGTCATTCCTATTTTTGAGTTACTCCTACCAGTCAGAGCAGCAGGTGTTTGTGGGCCCACTGTGATAACACTATGTGAGAGGGATCACAGGTGCATACCTCCATTTTATCCCATGGAAAGTATCTTTTAACATTTTCCACACACGCTGAAGGTCAATCTGAGGTATAAATGGAGGGGAGGAGGGTTAGTGTTCAGTGCAGAATTGTTCAGACTTACTGCAGACATGCTAAGGTTTCTGTTGTTTACCGGTCTTGCAGCCCTGGGTAAGAACATGACAGCTGACACTGCTCCATACAAGACATTTATTATTGATTCCCTCAGCCTCCCTCGGCTACTTTTTCTCTGTCATCCTGTTGGTGGTTGACTACATATCAGTCATCACACCACAGTTCCAGATGATCTAATATCTCAATAAAATTGCAGTTTTTAAAATTGAACTCATATCTATTTCTCTCTCTCTTTTTTTAGTGTTGGCTGAGCTGGAGCCCCAGCCCAGGTACTTAGAGGATGACTTTGAAAGGGTTGTTGGAGGTGAGGTTGCCAGACCCAACTCCTGGCCCTGGCAGGTAACTGATCTCACACACAGAAAAAAAAAAGATCAATGGAAATTTACTGTGTTTCAGTTGAACTTTCATAGAAGCTAAATTAAAATAAAGAGCTGAAGTATTTTAAATATTCTTCCTCCTCAGATTTCTCTTCAGTATCAGTCGGGCAGCAGGTACTACCACACCTGTGGAGGAACCCTGATTCGCAGAGGCTGGGTTATGACTGCAGCTCACTGTGTGGACAGGTAGCATATACTACAGTACTTTACTGTACTTAGAGGCCTTTTTTCAGAATTCAGCATCATTTGTACAGTATCATTTTAAGAACAGGGTTAATTCGACGACGACATTTATTGTTGCATTCGTCAACAAACAACGATAAGGATAAAAATGTAATCCAAGCGCTGATTTCGTCATGCAAATTCGAGGAACAAGACGAGCACAAGAGCCAATCAGACTTTAGTTTCTTACTCTCTTCTCCTACTGTACATTATTTACAGCCAAAGAACTTGGCGTGTTGTCCTTGGTGAACACGACCTCAACAGCGACAGCGGCAGAGAGCAGATCAAGGGTGTCAGCCGCGTCTACATTCATCCCAAGTGGAACTCCTACAATGTGGCTTACGGGTGAGAATGACTGTGACTCTTCGGTCAAAGTTCTTTCGTCCCTTCTATGTGTTTGCCATTTAAAATATTTATGTTATAGCGTATAAAGTTCAACATAATTTTTTTGGACATTTTTTAACTTTTTTAACCTGATCTATAATATGGTGATGAAATTTCTGCAAGAGAAGCTGAAGCAACATAAAGGTTCATAGGGGAATAATAGATCTGAGGCCAGGCCTTGGAGATGATCAATAACTTTCTCAAATCAATCCTGGGGCAAAAGGGAAGTAAGTGTAGATGGCTGGAATGAAGCGAGCCTCTGACTTCCAAGCGCTGTAAACTGAGCAGCGAAAATTTTCCAAATGTTTTTTTTACTGGATTTAGACGTACACATTACTTTTTCATTGCTCAGGTGCTCAGTTTGTAGAAATTAATTTTACGTAAGGGATGTGATGGTCCACTGTAGATTCCCGCTGTTTGATCCATCGATCTCTACCTCAGATATGACGTTGCTCTGCTGCGCCTGTCCTCCGAGGCCACCCTGAACACCTACGTCCAGCTGGGCTCTCTGCCCCCATCTGGCCAGGTTCTTCCTCACAACAACAATTGCTACATCACAGGATGGGGACGCACCTCCAGTGAGTTGACTCCCATGGCTACAGCTTTCAGAGCTGCTGTTGCGTCCTTTCTTATCGATGTTTTTTAATCATACCTAGCCGGTGGAAGCCTGTCTCCTCAGCTGAAGCAGGCCTACCTTCCTCTGGTCAGCCATGAAGTCTGCAGTAGGTCAGACTGGTGGGGCAGTACTATCAAGAACACTATGGTGTGCGGTGGTGGTGGTTCTGATTCTGGATGCAACGTGAGTCTTCCCCCTGTTTTTTTATGTCTTTATTTATTTTTACATGGAAACAATACTACAGAGATTAAATGTGAAATGAAAGTGAATTATTGTCATTGATGCACAGCATAGAACTGTACACAATTAAATGTTTCCTTCACCTTAATAAGCGGGGTGAGGTTTGTAGGGACAGTGCGCAGTACACCTTAGCAGCAGTGGATTTGAACCTGTGACCTTCTGGACACAAGCCCACTCCTTTAACCACTGCCCCTTAAATAGGATGCCACTTTTTGTCCTACTGTCTGTGTTAACCATACAGTAAATTTACCATTACCTATTTTACTGTTGAAGTGTACTTACTTTATTTAATATGCATATAAATACATACATAGTGTATATATTTATATCACTGCCTTAGGGTTCTTTGCATATTTATTAGATACCCAACCTAAAGAAGTATAGGTCTCCGAGTACACTAAAGAAAATACTCATACTCATTGTATCGGTTTGTAAAAACAATGGCATCAGGACAACACTGGTCTGAACTACACAATTGTAGAAGTTATTATTATTTATTTAGTTATTATTTATTTATTTCATTCGTTTCACGTCGTCTCAGGGTGACTCCGGCGGTCCTCTGAACTGCATGGTTAGCAACAAATACTACGTCCATGGCATTGCCAGCTTTGTGTCTGGTTCTGGATGCAATGCTTACAAGAAGCCTACTGTCTTCACCCGTGTGTCCGCCTACATCCAGTGGATGGACTCTGTGAGTATAGTGACATGTGGACATCTGAGGAATACTTCAACTTTTATTCTAATTGCGTTTCCTCTTTTTCAGATCATGAATTAAACAGGAGACGATCCTCGCTGGAAACGGACGGGAAAAAAAAAATCATTCCACTTTATTTTGACTCATCTGTGCCTCAAAAAAATAAAAATGATTTAAGTAGTCTTGTGTCACACACACACTTTTTCCTCGCTCATGTTCTCCCATGCCTAACACTATCTAGAAAGATGGGATGAAGTCTGTGACAATCCACAGGTGCAGCTGTTTCCACTGGTGTGGTGTCTTCATGTGTTTCACCTGTGCCTCAGTGCAGAGTGAGTCAGAGATCTGCAGGGAGCTGGATGAAAAGATGTGTGTGTGCGCGTGTGTGTATTTCTCTCTGAGAATTAACATGTTACAGGACGATCCCTACCTTTAAAAACCGGAAACTTAAACCTGAATACAACTTGAGCTGCAGTTTATACTTAATAATAATTCACCTTTGATTTCACTCATCAGTCGATGTGATGTAGAGCAGAGTCAGTTAATCACTTTGATGTGTCTTTTGTAATATAGACCTTGACGTGCCTCAGCACCGGATGCATTTCCTCATTCTCTGTACATATATTTGATCTTTATTCTGTTATTTTTAAGAGGAATGAAGGTCAACAGCTTCTAGAAAGTAAAAGGACAGCAGAGGTGAAGAAAAAATTGCAGGCAGGATGGAAGGGATGGAGGTGAATATCAGGGTTGATGTGTGAGTTGAAAGGGCAGATTCATAAGACAGAAGTGAGACCTGTAAACGACGAGCTGAAAAACAACGAGATGAAGATTACATGATCAGAAATGAGCAAATTAGAGCAACAGTTAAGGTGTTAAGGACATGGTTTGGTGATGGAGCTGTCTGGCTGGAGGAGAGAAGGACAATCTCAGAGGAAGTTTATTTTAAAAAATGACTTGATCCTACACTGGGGGACATGTTGAGTTAACAGCAGGTCAGCTACAACAGACTAAGAGTCAAGTATGTGGTTCCTCTGGGACTCGAACCCAGGACCTTCGGCCTGATATGACTTGAGACATTGCTGGCATTAAATTTAAGGAGGGAGATGATCTGCTGTGGTGACTGCTGAGTGAGTCAGCTGAAATTATTATTATTGTAATAATATACCATTAATACCCTTCCAGTATTCCCAGAACTACTAAATATTTTTGTGCTCTTGTCAAGTCAGGTTCAAGTAACTTGGCGGAGGAAAGGAGTATTTATTACTGTATTTGTAGACAGTGTACTATCTTTGACACACTACAGCTGGTGGAAGTCTGGCTGGCTGCTGGCCAGGTGACATACAGTACACAGGTTCACTTGATGGGGCAGCACTGTGGAGAACAGCATGATATGCACTGGAGGAGGTGCACACTGTGGGGTTACAATAGGAGACGGAAAGTACGTGACATGAATGAACATTTCACGTACAGTATAAACATGTCAATTATTCAAGGGTTTGCGGTGCAGTAAAAACAAATCCACGGAGCTGTACGACTTATAAATTCATCATGTCGCCAGCTGAGAGAAAAATCTTACGTGAACTTTGCCCTGTCACATAACCTGCTTGCGTAACAGCAAATGACTTTTTGTCCATAAGTGCAGGTAACACAGCTGTTTAAACTGAAAGCCAATAATATTCATCCAGAGCTTATGTGTCAAACTCAAGGCCCAGGGCCCAAATGCAGCCCACCAAATTGTTTTGTGTGGCCCACGGGGGCTTAAAAAGCATTTAGTGAAATCCATGCAGCAGAATTTCTTAACCTGAGAAATTAGGGTTTTTTTTTATTATTACACAGCAATGAACAATATTTGTTGTAATAAACAATAATCAATCTGTTTGTATCAGAGTCTGAATGACATTTTATTTTCAATATATCCAGATTATCTTTATATAAAGGAAATAAATGCATATGACTGGATTTTCTTTGAATGTAAAATTTAATTAATGTGCTTAATTAGTAAAAATTAAATTAACTACTTTACAAGGCGGCTCTTTCATTGACAGACTCCAGAGTTTGGGGTGAAAAAAATCACATTTGAACTGTACGCATGTCTTCAATGTATTACAATGACATCAATCAGCCCAGGACAGGAAAGGTTTAACTGTAGTTAATGAGGACCTTCTGCTTCTATACTTGGGTTAAAACACTTGAAATTGGACAGAAAACTGGAGATCCACCAAAGAGCGTGCTGTTCAAACAAAGACAGGTCGGCACTCGAGAGAATTGTCTGTTCGTCTAATAGAAAAACAGTGTTTTGTTTGTTTTTTTAATGCAAGGTTGCAGATCTATTTATAAAGACCAGGGGTTTGAAGGGCTTCTGAGTTGCATTAAAAACCACCATGCCCCCCCGTTGAACTCAGCTAAGCTATGACCATTGAAGGTTCCTGAAGGTATCATAGATGCAGCGCCTTCAATTAAAGTTTCAGAGAGATGTATGCTTTCATCAAGACCGTGTCGGGGTTTTTTTTTTAACACCAAAGGTTGCCATGGGCCTGCTGCTGTGAAGATCCGTCTCTGGCTGAAAATACCTGGTGCATCACAAAAAGGAAAAGATAGGGCAACAAAGAACTCCAGTCTGTAATACTGGATACGTGATCTACTGTTACATTTGCAAAACTGCTGTGATTACCACTCTAAGTTCCCAATGTACCACATAAGGACTGCGATCCAGTGAAGAATATATCTTTGTTCGAACTTTTTAGACTTCTTTGACAGAAAACGAACAGATATAGTGACAGGCACAGGGAAGCTGCAGAAATGTGAGAAGACACTTTTGTGTTTTGACACAATGCAAATTCCATCTGTTTCTGGATTCAGACTGTCTGCAGTCTTGAGTACAAGCTGACATTTACTCTGCCCCGTGATTGGTTTTTAATTAAATGTTTTTTTGTTTTTTTTTCATTTTGTTTCTGCATCCCTCAGAATCTGCTCTGATTGGTGTGAAATAAATAGACTTTTGTGTTTTTATTTTTCTTCTCGGTTGCCTCTAGGGTGCTTTTGTGACATTTTGGGAGTAATGGCTGCAGTGAGTTCTCAGGGACCACTGAAGCACACAGCTCGTGCACGTGAGCACACTGAGCCTACGTGCGCACGCGCGTGTGTGTGTCCTACCGCGGTTGCCTGATATTCATTCATTATTTCACTCCCTCTTCGCCTCAGACCATCCATCACCTTTTATGTGAATTCTCTTCAATGTTAGTGAGTATTACAAGCCTATTTTATGGAACCACGGAGTATATTCCATAAACAAGAGTAAAACAGGTCACACTGAGCGGCTGTAATTGTTCTGGGTGAACATTTTCCCAGCTCTGTTCGTATCATTATGAGGTTGAAGTGGAGGAGGTTTAGATCTTAGTGTCCTTAGAGGTGGAATAAACACCAGCTCTCACCAGCGTTTCCACTGACCTCCGGTCCTGGATCCCCGGTCAGCTGGACATTAAAGTTGCATTAATGTCTGGACTGAATGGTTGGAAAAGCCAATATTAATTCTTTTTAACTTTAACTAGGACTTCTATTAGCTTTTTGAATTGCTTTTACAACTCCTCTATGCATAATTCACTGTGGTCTCACTCTTCCAGCACACACACAAGAAGCAGTTTGAGTCTGAATGTTTTTCATAGGAGCAGAGCGGCAAAAAATCTTGTTTTGTTTTTTTTTTTAGAAAAATATATCAAATCTATAAGTCTCTCACAGCTATTCACAGCAGTTACAAGAATAATAATGGAAAAAAAAATCTACAGCAGTTCCAGACTCAGACTGAGCAGCTGTCTGGTTTAGCAAAGAGTGAAGAGAAAAATAGGAAGGACGCAGAAAGGAAAAGAAAGATTTCCTGAACAATACAGTCTACTTCATCGGTGGCTCAAAAAGTACTTTTTGAACATAAATGCTGACATGGAGTTTTGATAATGAAGAAATGTGCCTAAAATAAATATATGAAGTGCAGTGCTGACCTGTCATGTGGGCTCATTAGAAAAAAAAAATTTAAATATGTCGGATCAATAATATCTACACTCTGACTTTGACTGGGCTGAAGTACGTGTCCCGAGTTTTCTCCATCTGTTCATTTTTTTACGTGAAAACCCGAGTTTTCTCCATCTGTTCATTTTTACATAATATTCCGAGCTCTCACAGCTCAGAGCAGCTGTCAGCCGGTACTGCTGTACTGTAGTTAGGACCAGTCCTTCTTCCTTCACCCTGACAGTCAAGGATCTGCTGAGTGTCTGCACATGCTGAATGTACCACAAGTTGAAAGTGTTTATGAAAGTGGTGACAGTGGTTTTTAAGACTAGACATGCACCGTAGAATCAAATATATGTTTAAATGACCTGTTGTACGACGCCTTCATTTTTTTTCAGTGATTCCCTGTTGTCTGAATACACAGGTTTCTTCCTGTTACATATGAATATTTGAAATATCAGTAGTATCAGTAGTAGGATGTATCCATGTACTCTGTCTGGAGAAGTCCGGTCCAATTCTAGCCAAAAGGCCAACGTGCACAACTCAGGTGCAGGAAATTACAGCTGGTGCTCCAGTCTGATGGCTGGATTCACACCAATGAGTGACTGCAGGCAGCATTAAAACAATCATGGTGACGGTAGCCTGCAAGATGAGTCATCTGGTATCCACATAAGATTATGTGAGACAACTCCAAAAAAAAATCTCTTGCGAACCACCTGACTGGGACTCGTTCTCTAAGATGAGGGTGGTACTTAAAGTGTGGTACCTCACTGTTACACACCGGCCTTTCAAAAAACAGTAAGTTATTGGAGTACCACTAATAGGGAAATACGTAATGCCTATGCATACCACTGGTGGTGTATCCATAGTAGTAGCAGGAACCGGCTCTTGGAGACAACTGTTGCGATGATCGTGAACTCCTGGGAAAAATGATGTGAGACAACTCCAAAAAAAAAATCACTTGCAAACCACCTGAGGGCCGCGACCCAGTCTTTGGGAAACAATGATTTAGAACAACTTGAGTCACTTCAAAATCTGTCTTCTATCGTCTCAAAGAAATTTAAGTTTTCTTTGAGGACAATGGAAATTTAAGTTTTGTCCATTTGTCATTTGTTTCATAAATATTAAAAGAAAATATGTATATTTTATTCCTTATCAC